GGTCGCGCGTGTAGTTCTCGTCGCAACCACGGCTTCCACCACCGCGAGTCGCTGCCCCTACGACGCCCATAGCCTTTCCCCGTGGCCCGCGCGGACCCAAGGGCGGAACGCCGAAGATGGCATCGCCAAATTCGCAAGACCGCCCAAACCGTTTGAGCAGAAATAAGTTACTCCATGGCACATCATGGGCAGCAGCAAGGATGAGGCCCATGGGGCATCCAACTAGGAATTTGTCGAGCGCTGGTTCCAGTGCGCAACTAGCTGCCACCCCAATGGACACGCCATGATCTTGAGCACGGGCGAACCTGCTGGAGAAGAGCGAGACCACACTAGCGAATGTCTGAGGTGGTTGGCCTGGCCATTCGATGATGTCCGATCGGGCGCGGGCATCCACTTCCCCGGCAAGCCACGGACGGTTGGGGTTTTTGGGTGATATCGTCACTTCGGGCCCTACAGCCTGGAGTTCAAGATCCACCCACATGCACGGCTCCGAGGGGCCCTCGAACACTGATGCTGGGCTGAGACGCACGGGGCAAACCTCACACTGATATGCATAGGCACACGCTCGGCATTAGCGCGTGCTCACACCGACGATGCCATCCACATACCGTCGCTGCCCCAGGGAAACCAAAGAATGCCCATGGAGCCAGTGAAACCCAGCGGCACCAGCCGAGCCTCATCGCGCTGAGCCTGGAACTCGAACCAGCACGCGAGCACCGGCAAGGCGACACCTGACAACGCACCTGCCACGGGGAGCCCGAGCATTTCATCGACGATGCCCCCCAGGGACACCAGGGACACCCAGGCAAACGCAACGAAGGCCTGGTGCATATCCACAACCGAAACCTTAAACCATCCAAGTGGTGTGGAGCCAGTCCAGGGCCTGGTCTCGGGAGTCCGCGACTGCTTAACTTCGGTGGCATACACACCATTCCCACGCGCGACTTCTGCTGCAAGATCTGCCCAAGCCTGAAAGACTGCCGCTGCGCTGCACTGCCCGAACGCCTGATCCGCACCAGCCACAACGGTGCTAATCTCAGAAACAAATCCAGAACAGCGACAGCAACGGGAAGACCGCTCACGGGGAAGGGAGCGACGAAGACAGCGGAGCTCATCCGCGGCAGACTTTGAAAACCTCGGAACCCACTTCACTTCTGGACAACATATCACACACTGCTCTACCCCTTGAAAACCATAAGAACCAGGTGGCTGCAAACACTTAACGACGCGGCGAGAACAACTGCGGAATGGCTCGCGGCATGTCCGCTCGCCTTGGGAAGGAAAACGCTGCCCGCGACTGCGGGGAAGACGCACGGCGGCTTCGCGTCCGCAGTCAGCGGAGGCAGGAAGCGAGACGCGCACAGCCACGCAGGCAGAGCCGAGACCGCTCTGCCCCACATCCACACCGCCGCGTCCCGCGGGGAAATATCTAGGCGCAGGGCCCAGTCAGGATCCGCCTGCGCCATCTGGTGGAGACACCGCATCACGTCACAGCCATCGTATGCCCTGACCTTGTCGCACTCCTTGTCTTCAGCGATGATGACGCACTCGTTGGGCGCCTGCAAGCTGTCGGACATCCCCTGCTCAGCCCGGCGCCACTCAGGCGGGGGCTCAGGAGGCGCAATCCAGCGACGCGAGGCCCACCGATCAAGGCGACGAAGGCCACGGCGAAGCACACGGCGCGGAATGCGAGTTCTAGCCGCGCAGCAGCCCAAGGCCGCGCGGGCCTCGCGCAAGGCCCGACGCGGGCGCGGCCACGCTGGTAGGCCCCAGGGCCCGCCGAGGCGCCGAAGGCGCCAGGGGGCCGACGGCGGCCCCTCGGGCGGGCGCGGCAGCGCAAGGAAATAAAGTCCGCGCAGAAGCGGCTGGCCGAGACGTTATCCTTCCAGCAGGGAGTCTTGGTACAGACTGCTCTCAACGGTTGCGCGCACACGCCCCTCGACGGTGCAAACTTCATACTCCTGGCCATATACGCGATGGCCGACCTCACCCCCTCGCGGTATTCAGCCTTCTGCAAGACTGCAGGTAGCTATATATGGGGTCGGCGCGCACTGGGTAACTGGAGTCGTCGCAGATGCATGTCGATGCGGTGCATGGCCATGCGCCGGCGGTGGACTGACCTGAGAGAAGAGCCAGCCATCGACGCCGCTAGATACAAATGCGCACCAATCTCATGACGACTCATGCATGGGAACACTGGGAGGTTTCTCGACTTGGCTGCCAGGAGTGCAAGCAACAGCCCAAGTCTCCGTCCTTCAAACAGCAAGTGCGGGTCCATCTCTCCTGTGAGGTGGTAATGCTCACGTATCTGCAACTGGTAGAGGACTCCGAATGGTGCCGATTCAGATAAAACTCCAGGGTACCCTGCTCCCACCTTTTGATCAGCATCACGCGGTAAGTGCTGTCAACGCCGAAGGGAAGGTAGCCGCCCACGCTGGTGCTCCCGTAATCGAACGGGGGCTCGTCGCCAGGTGGGGGGGCGGCGGCGCTGAGCACGACGTGACTCTTGCATCGTATGGAGCTGCCCTGTTCCTCTCCTCCTGCTGGTAGCCTCCGAATCCAATGCATCTAACTGGTTGCACCCCGGACCGAACCGACGGATGGTCATCGCCTCGAAGTGATAGCTGGCCCGTTCGGTCCTCAACAGGAGGACATGGAGAAAGAAGAGACCCCAAGCTCCGCCGAAGCACGCGGCATCGAGGTCGCACACCTGGTCCCAACCGAGGGTGTAGCACAGCTCGTACATGTTCGGCCACTCGGCCTAGCAGCCCTGGGAGCGCCGCACTGCGTAGCAGAGCTTTGCCTATATAGATGCCGCCATGACTGCCCAACACGTACACCACAGCCCGCGCATCCGTCTGCGGCGGACCTAGGATGCAGCCAAAAATTTGAAGTCGAAGAGGGTGGTCCCAGTCACCGATGGCCACGCGCAGATCTGGTGCAGCAATGGTGGAGACCTGCCTAGCCCAAGAAAGAATATGCTTCTGTCCCAGAGCTCGTCGGAATCGAAGTAGGGCGAGCATGACCACGGCAAAACTGACTACGCTCCACAGGTACACTCCACGAAAGGGTCGTAGCTCTGGCCGCAATGGGCCTGCCACATTCTTTAGGAGGAACGAGAGGAGGCTGACAAGTCTAGGAACAGCATGGCGGTGATACCTCTGCAACCGCGTCCACACGCGCAGAAAGCTCGCAGCGGCCTCCTGGGACACGCGCGCTGATCTACACAATGTTGGCTGAATTACTGCATGAACAACTCGATGATCCTTCATGTGATGAAGCGGGAGCGGCCAGCGGACCATGAGGCGCTCCCGTGCCTCCTCTGGGGCCAAAGAGTCCGTCGACCAGCGACTGCCAGAGGTGGACCCTCGCATCTCCTCTTCCATCACCTCGTCGAAGAGACTCGCGTCGTCGTACAGCACTGCAATAACTCTGAGCTCCTCCAGCGGAGCTCTCTGGATTCGCAGCCTCCACGTCTCCGCGTGCCTGACCTCCTCCTCGTGCCTTGCCCGCTGGAGCGCAATCCACGTGCTCACTGCGATGCCATGGGAGAAGTCGCAGTAGAACATCGACACCTGAAGAAGCCGCACTTGCCATTGTGCCTGATGTCCAAGAAAACGCCGTACCCGCTCCGCGTTGCTGCCGTGCTCAAGAACGTTCTGAAAACTGATGGTCATGCTGCTGCTGCTGCTGCTGCTGCTGCTGGTCGAGAGGAGGCGGAAACTGCCGATGTGGTCTGCCAGCTGCTTCTTTCCATCACTGCAATATGGAAATATGAAAAGCCACCCGCCCGAGAGGGCGGTACTTAAACTCTGGGTCACCGTCGCCGAAGTCGGCCGTGTCGAAGCAGACCGTGAGAGAGTCACTGTTTGCGAATGGTGCAATCAACCGCACACTATCGCGAGCCCCTGGATGGGAGCACCCCGGTGGCACGGGGGTGGCGGTCGGACTGCACGCTCTGAGCACCGCCTGGGCGTGCAGCCCTCTCCTGAGAAGCTCAGGCCAAACATGACGGCAGCATGGAGAGGATGAGAGGTGACACGCTGTTGCTGGATAATATGTTAATGTTAAGACGGGTGGGCGAGAGAAAGAGGGAGAGAGAAGGAGGGAGGGAGGGAGAAAGGAACACCCTGGGCCCGGGGCCCCCTCGGGCAAGCCCCGAGCTTTGGAGGCCGAAGCCCGCGACGATGCCCTTCGCCAGCGGCGACACCACGGAGTGGTGCCGCATGCGCCGAAGAAGAGAGGGCGGCATGAGCACACACCGGACTCATCTCGGTACTTAGTGCTGCTCACTCCTGCAGTGTTCACTTTCGGTCTGAGGTCCAGACGGGGCCGCAGGTGCACGCACATGCCCTACAGTCGCACGCACATGCCCATGCAAGCGTGCGGAGGCTTGAACAGCACAGCCGCACCTGCGCGCACGTACCGCGGAGTGGAGTAGACATGCCGGAGCTCTGCGCGGATTTCTTGCATCGGCGCTGGACTCCACTGGCGGCGCCTCCGGCGCCGCCTTCGCGCTCTCCGCGCGCCAGGGAGGGAGGTCCAGCGCAGATCCAAGAGATCCGCGCGAGAGTCCGAAGCTGTAGCTCGTGGTCCGACGTCTCCGAACGCCTGAGGCTTGAACGTGAAGTCTACATCCTGGATAGCCTCCAGGAAGGCAGCATTGGCGAGCACTGCAAAAAGGAACCTCCGAAGCTGTGTATGTGTGTGCTTATGCCGCTATTCCTCCTTCGAATGTGCTCGCCCACAGAGCCCAGCAGGTCGTTCCTGGCGTGGACGCACGGGTCGGCCGAGGGCGGGGGGTAGCAGCGGGCGGGTTGACGAGTCAGCTCACGTCAGCTGGTTTTCCCGGCGCCCCTCTCCCGTGCAGGAGGCGCCCCTTTATCGAGGAAAGCGCCTGGCGGCGGGGCCGAAACCAGCTGCATGCGTGCAGCAGAGTTCCCATCCCATCATTCCCAATCCCCCCCTCTCGTCCGACCCGAGATGTTCGACATGTGCACCTCGATTATTGGGATCGTGAGGATGTTCAGCGCGTCGTGGAGACCGTAGCTGTAGTGCGTCCACGCCCCAGCGTTGATGATCACCACCGCAGTGCCATCCTGATGGGCCTTGTGGATTCGCTCGACGAGCTCGCCCTCAAAGTTGGTCTGGAAGCACTCGACCTCGGTGCCGAGCTCCTCGCCCAGAGCCATCAGCCCCGCGTTGATGTCGCCCAGCGTGGCGGACCCGTACACCGACGAGTCGCGCTTGCCGAACATGTTGAGGTTGATGCCGTGCAGCACCAGTATCTTGGGAGCCCCCGTGGCGGCCGTGTCACTCTCCCCGCGCGGCTCGCACGCGCAGGGCGCACCGGGACCCCACAGCGCGGAGGCCTGGGCGCCCGCCGCCAGTCCCACCGCTCCGGCGCCGGCCGCGGCAGCCCGCCGCTGGTGCGCCCCGTGCGGCCGCCGCCCGCAGCGCGCCGCCGCCGCGTGCCGCGCGCCGCCGCGGGCGGCGGCGCCGCGGGCGGCAGCGCCAGCGCGTGCCCATCTGGCAAACATCGCAGGCCGCTCGAGCCGCACGGGCCGCTCGGGCGCCGCGGTCGGTGCGCCGCGCTGAGGGCCCAGACGACTCGCGAGCTCGTGGAGAAAAGTGGCGAGGGCGTTCGGGGATCCCTGGAAGATTTGCTCGACGTTCGGATCTGTGCTGGGACTTCTGCCTGGCCGCCAGGCTGGCGGGTGTCACCACACGGCTGGCCTTGCGACGGGCGGGGGGCAACTTTGTCCGCTGAGGCCAGTGCGCCCTCCAT